GCACGGGGCACCATTCACGGTGCGCACGGACAACTCTGTTGTCCAGGCTTTTCTGACAAAGCCGAAGCTCACTCCTCGACAGGCTCGCTGGTGGCGCGACCTATCCGAGTTTAGTTTCACCACTGAGCACATCAAGGGTGAGACTAATCGGGTCGCAGATGCCCTATCCCGGCGCCCTGACCACAACCAGGAGCACATCCATCTCTCTTCCATCTTGGTCACCACCGTCCACCACTCGGTGATCGATGAGTTTCGCACTCAGTACCGCCACTGCCGCGACTATCACGACATCCACGCGACCCTTCGGAGTGGCAAGACCGTCCTAAACTACTCTCTCGGGGACAACGGTCTTGTGTAATGGCACGGTTCACAGGGCACCAGAGAGCCCCGTATTTGCGTTCCCTCCACTGGACAGCTACGTGTCCGAGCAGTAGCACAGTTCCATGACCAGGCAGCTGCCGGTCATATGGACTTCCACAAGACGTTGGCTCGTGTGAGCCGCCTGTACGTCTGGCCGAAGCGCAAGGACTTTGTGAAGGACTACGTCGCAGAGTGTCCCACCTGTCAGGAGGTGAACAGTGCGAACCACCTACCTTATGGTTTGCTCCCGCCTCTTCCTAACCCTGAGGGTCGTTGGCAGTCCATCTCGATGGACTTTATCGGTCCTCTTCGACCTCCGACCCCCCGCGATCATGATGCTATTCTGGTCGTCGTCGACCGCTTCACGAAGCGTGCACGCTTTGTTCCGTGCCGCTATGCCATCAGTGCACGTGAGGTCGCCGACATCGTATTTGACCGAGTCGTGCGTGACCACGGCTTACCTCTGAGCATCATATCTGACCGTGACCCATGCTTTACCAGCCGATTCTGGCTACGGCTCCACGAGGTGTACGGCACTCAGCTCCGCTTCTCCTCGTCTTACCATCCTCAGACTGATGGTCAGACCGAGATCACGAACATGACTCTCGGGGATATTCTCCGAAAGATTGTTCGTGACGACCAGCAGTGGAATCTCCATCTTGCTCACGCGGAGATAGCCTACAACCACGCTGTCTCGCTAGCCACGGGCATGTCGCCTTACTATTGCGACCTCGGCTATCACCCTCGTGTTCCCGCGGACTTCCTTCGACCGTCCCAGATGCACCCCGACACGAGTTGTCCCGCGCTGGATGATTGGGTTGCACACATGACGTCGATTATGAAGACCGCACATGAGCACATAGCCGCTTCCMAGACTCGCATGGCAGCACGTGCGAACCGATCGAGGATGGATCACCCATTCAAGGTCGGTGATGATGTGCTTATCGACGCCCGCCATTTACAGCTCGAAGCGGACACGCTTCGCAAGTTTCGGCGTCACTTCTTTGGCCCATGCTGCATCCTCCGGGCCGTCAGTTCTGATACGGCATCTAGCTCGGTCAGCTTTCGTGTGAAGTTGCCCGACTACCTACGCCAGGCTCGTGTGCATGATGTCTACCACATCTCGTTACTGCGTCCTTACCGCAGACCGTCTGAGCGTTTCGCTGGACGACCATACGAGCGCCCTCCACMCATCATGGTGGACGGCCACGAGGAGTTCCTCGTTTCAGACATCATTGGTCGTCGAGTCACCGACGACAACCCTCCCCACGTCGAGTATCTCGTACGTTGGAAGGGTTACCCTGATGAGGAGGCTACATGGGAGCCCCTTGAGCACTTCCAGCACGCTCGCATGTTGGTGCGTGCCTATGACCGTGCTCGTCGTGCTGGGTTCACTGCTCCTCCTCAGCCCACTGACCCTCCTCCTTCTCCTCCGGCTGAGGAGACCGCTGAAGTTGAGCCTGCTCCATCTGAGGCAGACCTTCAGCAGCAGCCGGATGCTTCTGAGCGTCCACARCGCACTCGTCGTCGTCCTGCTCGATACGACGATTGACTCTGACTTACCTTCCCACGTCTTTGACTTCTCAGTACTCTATCCACATCAGTTTTGCTACTTCAGCTCGTCGACGCTACGACTCTTCCTCGATGGCATTCCAGACTTCTCATCGTGGACGTCATCGACAACTTCATGGACTTCATTACGATCAGCTCTGCCTACTTCAGACGTCGCCACTCTCTTACCACTCTACCCTGTACAGTACCCTGCTTGTGTCGCATGAT